TCTCTCACGTGCCAGGTACTAACCTGTGAAGTTGGCGCTGTGCTGCAGGTACCTCGAAGACGAAGCTGGAGCTATGGCGCTGCAGGTAAGTATCCCTGGCCTCCGCCCAATCTCTCTCTCTCTCTCCAGTTTTACTCCAGCTGCTACTAGCGCCCAGCGCTGAAGACTTCTGCTAGCGCTACCACTACTCCTGCAGTGCTCCTCCAGAGTGCTGCTGCCGAATCCTGAAGACTACCTCCTGCCTCCTGAACTGCACATGAAGTGCCTGGGAAGTCCCTATGAACTACCTGCAGCCTGCAGGGCGGGCCAGTCTTATATAGTGCTGGCCCGTCCAGGAGGCTGCTCTTGCCAATGCCAAAACGTGCCAGACCCTGGGGTTGAAGCTCAAACAAAGCTTGTCTTGAAATTAGGCCAAAAATGGCATGAGCTAAAACCCTGGTCTGGTGCCAGAGTTTCAGGGCAGGTCGATCTTATGAGGGCCTGAAAATGGCCCTCAGTTTCAGGCTGAAAAGACTCAGGGCTGGAAAGGCCCTGATTTAGGCTGAAACGACACAGGGCCTGTAGGCCCTTGTTTTCAGGCTTTCAGGCTGAAACGACACAGGGCCTGTAGGCCCTTGTTTTCAGGCTTTCGGGCTGAAAACGACACGGGCCTGAAAATGGCCCGTGCAGCCTGTTGCGGGCCCGGCATGTAACAACAACCTCATGCACGGAGTTCCTACCACCTGGACAGAAGAGACTCAATGCAGATAGAAGAGACAGACAGACTCAGCAAGTACGATGGGGTGAGTGCACATCCATAGGGCGAGGGGATAGGTTGAAGGCTTGGCAAGAGTATACCAACTCCAGCTTGGTCAAATTTGTGGTCAACAGCTCCGGTCAATGCTGGTCAACGCTGGTCAATTTCCCAGTCAACATCTTGGTCAATGCTGGTCAATGCCTCGGTCAAACCCAGTCAACACCTTGGTCAACGCCTCGGTCAACCCCAGTCAGCTCCCTGGTCAATGCCTTGGTCAACTCTCAATTCTGCTATGGCTGCCGACTCCTTTTCTCCCTTCAGCCTTCACTTCCCTCATCTCTCCTTCCTTCTTTGAAAATTTCCTTTTCATACGGCTCAGCTATATATATATTGATATTCTTGAATATAGTGTTCTTGATCTGAAAAAAAAGAATATATTAGATTTATATACATATGTATATAATACATATGTATTATATACATGTATATATACAAGATATACTCTATATTCTATTGTAAATTCATCATTACTGATCGATGGCGCACTTCTGCTATGGCGCATGGAATAGCGGGAACAAGCTCTGATACCAGTGCAATCAGACTCGCCTTCGTCTTCGTTCAGCATGTGTGCAAACAGATTGAAATCCACACTGGCGCCAGGCGCCCACACAAAGCTCAGAGATATTACAGCCGAGAACAAAGTTCAGATACAAACTTGCCTCAAACTGGCTATGGCGCCTGAGCGCCTACACTTCACTTCCCCGATCTGTATTCACCACGACTGTTTGCACGCACTCAACTCTAGATCTCCCTGGATATCCCACGCACATCCACTCTGTACCACACACACACACAGTCACTACTATCTATCGCTAGCTATGGCAGCTATGGCCGCCGGCTACCACTCCGTACAAGCAGCAACGGCTGCTCTTTCTTCCTTGCAGCTCACTTCGACTACGGGCATCTGCGGACCACCTCGCACAAGACGCCTGGGCAGCACTTCCACATGGCTCACGCAGAAAATGAGTGAATGGCTGGACGCTGCTTCTTGATTTATAGTTCTGTTGGTCGCTGGTCTGCCCCTTTTCCACCGGGCCATGGTGCACACAGTCCCTCATGGTACTTGCTGACTGGACAAAGTGAGACTGGGACTGGGTACCACTGACTAAGCAAAGTTGGACTACCCACTTGCCCACTTGCCTCTGGCCTAACGTGAGCAACACTCGAAAGGCCACTTCCGGACCTTCCGGAAGTCTGTGGACTTGGCCTTTCGGAGCTGTAGCAGCTACGACGTTGTCCTTTCTGGACTGTAGCAGCTATGGCCTTGACCTTTCAGAGTTGCAACAGCTATGACCTCTACTCGACAGACCTACGGTTCAAGACCCGACACCTACACAGACCTATGACAGACAACAGTCAGCTATGAAAACACAGGTCACGGGTTCAAAACACACAAGCATCGACTTGGTACTGTACACGGGTGAGGTAAGGTCTAGGGATCGAGCCCTGGGATCTGCATCTGTTACTGCAAAGGTGAAAACCGTTTCAGGCAGGGCTGGTCCCCGGATGGACCGGGGACCCTTACCCCATCCGCGGTCCTCCCGGTTGGACCGGCCGGTGGCCCGGGCCGGTTCCCTCCCGGTTGCCCCCAAAGCATTTTTGCTGGGGCCTGAATTTTTTTTTTTGTCAGCGCGTATGTGCTTCCGAGGCTTTGTCGGGGTGGGGCCTGCCCCGCAATTTCGAAACCGGTTCCTGCAGGCCCGGATTTTTCAAGGCCAAAAAGTGGCCAATCTTGGCCGCCAATCGTCGCAGATCAGCGGCAAAGGTCGGCAAGGAACCCATTTCTTAAGAAAAACGGGCAGAGGATACCCGCCGCTGATCTTTGCAGATCAGCGGCGGAGAACCACCACACATTTTTCTTAAGATGTGGGTCGGGTAGGCCCCTTCTCCAATTTATCATCTTGTGGTCCAACGGACCAGTTACCATTGGCAACATGTGATGCTCTTTCACCCTCAGCCACGAGGGGAACACCATGCTTGTGATGAGGCTCTGCTGAGATTATATCCTTCCGCAACGTCCCTGCCATCTGTGGAAACATCTGTGGAAAACGTTATGGGTTCGGATTTTGGAATCGTGATGTCAGAGCCATCCGAGGTGCAAGCCCAAGAATGGACCTAAGCTATATTCTTCTCTCGATCTAATCTCAAATGGACCTTGCTCCACTACATGTATCTGGACAGACTACCAGGCAAGATACTTCCGGACTGATAACTCACCTTATGTAGAAACCAACAAACAGAAAACGCTCCGCCTCTACGAGCTGAAAGCTGGAACCATAACTCTTCTGCTGTCGAGTTATACTCTGGAAGAGCTATAACTTCTGGCAAGGACCTCCTCCTATTATATCTGCTTCAGCTCGTGGGGTATCAATATCAAATGACACACTCCACGAAGTGCTCCAGCCACGGGGGGGTTGGATAAGTGAACCTGCTTACTTGACCCCTCCCCGTGGAAGCCATAGTTGCTTGAAATTGTCAATAATAACCTCCTGCCCCCCTCTGGAAGGCCCCTGAAAAATATTGCACCTTGAAAATTTTATTGCGGATTCCGACAGCTCTTGAAGAGCGCAGTCGGAATCTGGCAAAAAAAAAAAAAAAAAGACAGATATTTGGGCACTTTTTTTTCAAAACCGGTTTCCCGGTTCAACCCCCTTGGCCTGGTCCGGCTCCGGTTGGACCGGGGTAGCTCAACCGGCCGGTTGCCGACCCAGCACTGGTTTCAGGCTATTTGAAATCTGTTTGTTATCCTTAGTCTACATATTATGTGTGTGAGTGGTCTGGACGAGGGCAGTTGATAGCCACACAGGTGTGAACATGGGCAGTTGCTGGGAACTGTGCCAGCGAAGCCACAAAGGTGCTGGTGGCAGTGATATTGATTTCTGATGTCTCGAATCTGTGTGCAATTGCTATCCTTACCAGAAACTTGTCGAAGACTATGAGAAGAAGAAGGCACTGGCAGAGAGTTCTGCGAAAAGGATAGAGGAGGCAGATTTGAAGCGTGATGCTATGCAGGAATTACTGAGCAGGTAAATTTCTGTGGAGTGGACACAAATCCCCACACTATAAGAACTACTAATGTAACAGATCTTGAATCTGGGCCATCCCTGGGTGGAAAAATTCGGATTCCGGACTGAGTTGCCGAAAGAAATCGAGGAGGAGAGGGACGCTTTCGTGACCAAATTGGCAGCATGTGGGGATGAGGAGGAGAAAACATTTTTGTTGGAAGAAAAAGAAGTGCCCTCCATCAACAGCTATTGGCCCAGAAGAGGAAAGAGTTTGATGAAAAGAAGAGGATAAGGGAGGAAGGAGAAAGGCTCCAGAGGATGTTGAGAGAGCAAAAGGGCCAAGAAGTGGAAGTCAAAGAAAGTTTGACCCTCCTTACTGACACGCTGTTGCACACCACCCAAGAGCTCGCAGCACTCCAAAAGTTCGTTGGAAAAATTGAGCGGCACCAAGAGGAATTCCAAAGTACTTTGAACAACTTCCTCTGCACTTCCTCCCACAGAATTAGATGAAAAGACTCTTGACTATGCTCACCAGTTAGACAATATCTTCATGCAAAAACTGACAACCACCATTCCGTCAGCCAATTTAAGTGGTGGTGATGGAGGTGGAGAAGGGGGGGATGATGAAGATGATGACAAGAAAGGTAAGGATCCTAGAAAAGATGGGGGAAAGAAAGGAAAAGAAAGGAAAAGAAAGGCAGTCCTAGGGAGGAGAAAGACGAAAAGAAATGAAAGTAAAAGTCCCTTGGACTTACACTGGGAAGAAAGAAGAAAGCATATTCCAGTGGAAAGCAGCTATGGATACATACCTTTATGGGAAATTAATTTCGTATCAGGATTGTCTGCTGATGGCTAATTCACGCATAGGAGGGGACGCAACTAAGTTTGCAATTTCGTTAGTAAGGAAGGCAGATTGCACCTCCATGGTGCAATACTCGACAAACCCATAGAAAAGATTTCATGAGGGCCTTAAGAGAGTCAAAAAGACAACTTTGAAGATTAGAACCTGGCCCGCCGTACAGAGTACTCAATCCTTAACATTAGTGACCACAAGCGGAGGAGTGTGTCAGCACTCAAGGCCACCATGGATGCATTGTTGCAGTGCCCGGAACACAGACTGACCCCTACGCAGTAGACATTGAATAACTTTGCAAGAGCGCTTACCGATCCCATCCAGACCCAGTTATATCCTCGTACAAAGAAAGAGGGGATGACTTATGAAAAGTTCAGAAAAATAGTTTTAGATCACGTCGGTTTCCTGCAGGAGGCAGATTATTGTCATTATGGGAAGTACCCGCAGAGAGGGAAATGTGAGGATTGAGCCCTCAAAGGGGCCTTGCCGTGATGTACATGTTCTGGGCTAAGGCCCCCAGCAAGCCTCGTGCGCGCCCTAAGTGAAGGCGGGCCAGCAAATCAACAAGAGCCCCGTTGTTCAAACATTTCACGAAGTGGGGTCCATACAGTTGCCTCACGCCAGTTGGTTGGAGTGCACCGAGTACCGGATCTCTGCAAATGCAGAAGGACCAGGGCCCCAGAATTGGTTAGGCCCTGGGCACATTAACGTGAGGCCGACATTGTATGCTGGATATAGAGGCCGAAAATGCCAATGGAAAACCGGTCCACTATCTGAATCTGGACGCAGGCCTGGATGAAAGGGGCGCAACTGTATTTCGTGGGCCCCAACCGCATTGGGCCTGGGTACAGGTACTGGGGCCCAGGCGCAGGCTCAAGGGAGGCCGCCCACACGCAACACTGGCATATAGGCAGAGAGGGCAAGTGGGCAGGGATCTTGGCCATTGCGAGCAATGCCGGCACGCTGAAGCTCTGTGAGGTGCTGCGCTGCGCTAGGCTGATGTGAAGGCAGGCTGGCGCTAAGCGGTAGGGCGCAGCCTGGACACAGGGCGCTGGCAGCCATAGCCGGGCTGCCTGTGGGCGCAGAAGGAGGTGAGGGCGAAGGTGGTTCTTCGGAAGGTGAAGGGCGCTGTGTGGGATAACAAGGGAGAATGAGGGAGAAGAGAGAGACGTACCTGGTGAAGAGGAGGTCGGCATTGGTGTTGACATCATCACTCGCTGGTCGTCAAGTTGTCTGGTTGCTTTCATGTTGTAGTGGTAGGGATAGGCTATAGAGATAGGGCGCCTGGCGCCATTCAAGAGAGAGAGCTACATTGGGTTATGCTGTTGGTGTTGCCCGATTGGGCTTGGACATTGACTCACGATTCTGCTGTATCGTTCTCAAATGGATGGTTACTTGGTTCCAGTGTGATTATGCAATTTGGATGTCTGTGCTTCGTCCACATTCATGTTCCTTGCATTTTGGTATCGGAGCTGGTTCGATTCGCCACTTACCTTGGTTCGATTCGCCACTTACCTTGCAATCTGGATTTCTGTGCTTCGTCCACATTCATGTTCCTTGCATTTTGGTATCGGAGCTGGTTCGATTCGCCACTTACCTTGGTGCGCTGGCGTTATACAGACTTGGTGCGTTAACGATGCTTCTTCACAGTTGGTTCTTGTGACATCAGGCCGAAATTAGGCGCACGACCTGGGTAGAGAGGTGTGCGCCGGAAGGGTGTACGGCTTGGGATGCCGTGGCGACGGCAGAATGTATGATTGGTGATGAAAGCATGCTGATGTGGCATTTGGCTGAGGTGGCACTGCATTGCGTTGTGGGTGGTACCGAGGTTACGACCGGTTATCAAATGCACACTCAGCTCAATTGGTGAGAAATCTGTGGTTGGGGGCAGCTATCTCCAGGTACGTTGTTCCCTTGCCTTATCTACCCTCTCAATCTCTTCTTACCGCGATGAAGTGAGTCCAACTTGAGAGTCCTCTCTTTTGGTGAGGTGTCGTGAGCGCTCTACCTTGAGAGACGACAATCTTCCCGGTGGCGCATCTGGAAGGAGAAAGGGCGGTGCCTCTGAAGGGCCCTGGTCGAAGCACATGGGTCACGGTCACCATGCCAACCCAATGGGATTAGTACACGCATGCGATGGCTGTTTTGTCCTTGAGGGCACTTTTGCTGCGCTGATAGAGGGGTGTGCGGACTGAACAGGTTTATGCAGATGCTCCCAGCTCGTCTATAACCATTTCTGGATGCGGTTCCGATCTGATAACTGGCTGTGATCGTCGTCCTGATTGTGACGTTAAATAATTCCTGAGCGACCTTGGGGGCAGTCCTTAAATAGGCCTCTTGATCAACCAGATCAGTCGGACGTACGGCTCGTTGCACGCGAGGATAAAGAATGGGCAAGCCTGGTCATAAGCATGCACCTGGGGCACAGGGGTGGGCCGACAATGCACACCTATGACACTGCCACTCAATGATGCTCATGGGTATGTTGGATTGAGGGAAGGGTAGGTTCTAATTGGTGCTCAACTGTAAACACAACCATACCCACTGATCATACATTTGCAACATAGTCTGGTTTTATTGTTGATTAGTGGTTTTATTGTTGATTAGTTGGTTGACAGACTGCTAACACCTCACAGGCAGTTTAGTTTAGGACTGTTGTATACTACCATAGCCAGTTTTATGCAAAGCTTTTGTAAGTGAACTAATCATGATATAACTAAACTATGTTTACGGTCTTTTGTGAATGTTGTAGGCTGCCAATTGATCGGTTGAGTAGGGGACGACACATTTATTTTTAGAAAATTAGGTGCCGGTCAGACACATGCTGTGGTAGGTGTCCAACAGGGAGTTGTGGTGCAGATAGTGTTTGCCTAACTGATGAGTGGGTCAGACACCGATGAGGGTAGAGTTGACAATGCGAGGCTGACACGTTCGAGATCACTAAGGGTCCCGCACATGTTTCAGGCCCTACAGCTGGGAGATGAAAGACGGCTTCGTGCTGAAGTAAGAGTCCGTGCTCTCGCAGCAGCCAGGGAACAGCACTAGCTGCAAGTCAGGCGTTGGCAGCAGCAAACGCCACAGCTAGGGAACAGGCTGCAGCAGCAGCCAGAGCAACAACAATGGCTACCGCAGCAGCATCCTCTGCTGCATCCTCGTCTGGGACCCAGTTGGGGATTCCCCCTGGGCCCACGGGTACTTCCGGATCAGTAGGTTCTGGTCAGTCTATAAGTCAAATGGCGGGCTCGCAGTTCAGTCCGTTGACCCCACGCGGCAGGGAGCTATTGGATCTCCAACAAGTCGAAAGGATCCGCGCTCGGTTAGAGAGGGAACTGAAGCAAGCTACCGATAGAGAGAGAGAGATCAAAAATAGAACAGCCAGGCTTGATACTTTAGAGGCAGACAAGGTTGCATTAGAGGAGTTAGATGAGTCAGCAATGACTGACGCAATGAAAGTGTTGAAGGCCAGCGTACTGTCGTTGCATGCGCACGTGGACAGTAGGCTGGATTTCATGCAGAACTCCTTGGACCAAGTCTTGGACCTTTTGCAAAGGCCAGGATTACGGCCAACAGCACAGTCGCCGTTGCCGTTAACGGTGATGTCAGGCCCCTTTCCGGTACAAGCTGACACACAGCCAAGTGGTACGTCTGCAGCAGTCGCACAGACTGTTGCTTCTTCTTCTTCTGGTCCAGCGGCCGGAGCTACACCACAACCGCAACAACATGTTCCACCACAGGGACAGCAGCAAGGTCAATGGTACCCAAAGACCCCAATGAAACCGCCTCTTGCCTTCTTCGGTGAGAAGAAGGACGAGGAACTCAACACTTGGTTGAGAACAGTTCCAATGTGGGTAAGGGCAAAGAGAACTTTGCAGGAGGAGGTGATTACTGCTGCATCTTACCTTGAGGGTAAGGCAGCCAAATGGCTAGATGGAATAGTAGCGAAGGTCGAGGTCGGATGGCGCATGGCAGATTGGGGTAAGACCCTGACTTTAGAAGAGTTCTTAGATATGGTAGACGCTCGCTGGCATAATCCGCATCAGGCACAAATTGCCACTGATGCGATGTTGAGAGTGGACCAACGAAAGCACAAGTCAGTTGGAGAGCTAACGTCTACCGTAGAGAACCTCATCGTCGTTCCCGATATACGCTACGATGACCAGGTCTTATT